ATCTATAGCTCATATTTTGACAATTATATATATAGATGATGCATATTGCAATTCCGGTTTCAACACGATCAAATGTCAAACCATGATAAAATATATATCAATTTACAAAATATCGATTAACATTAGAATCCATATCTAATTCCATCAATGCACAAGTTGTAAATGCTTAATCATCTTTGAGAAACGTGAATAGCACAATTTTATAAGATTATTTGTTGAATATTTAAAATATAAGCCAAATCGAATCTTCTGTATATTACTTTAGTTTATAATTGAATGTTAAATGTGCTCAGATAAATATTTGAGTCAGATATCGCATTTTCAAATTTCAAATTTTATCTCATGAAGTTAGAATTCATTTGATCATACAACATCATATTAGTCAAACTAGAGTTCAATCGCGATTCCAAAATGGAACAATTGCTTGTTTTATCAAAATGTTAAAATATTAATCTAAAAAACTTAATATCTAACCAAAACATTCTAGAAATATCATATACAGGTATATGCAATCTAAATGCACACGAAATACTGAAAATTAAAAAGAATATTTATGAGATTATTAAATCTTATGCATTTCAATGAAGAGTCGATAATTATCATCTCTATAGGTTATATATCAACATATGAGTTTTTGGATTGACCACTACTATACTAATGTGATCAAATTAATCTGATTTCTTGAATTTTCATTTGAAGCATTCGCAGTAGTAGGAGTACCTTCATATATTAACATATTAAAAAATTGCGCCCAGATTCGCAGTTTAATCATGATTTTAAGATTGCATTAGATTTCGAAATGCAGAAAAAAATCACTTTAGATTCCCTTCAAACTCTAAGCATAAGCATGTCTCTATATGAGGAAACTACTTGAGCTATTCATTTGGCGGCCCAAAAACTCATGTTGCCTGAGCGCAGAAAATACCAATTTTTGGACCCTGGGTAGGGGGTCATGCATGTTTTCTAAATGTTGGAAAAGTAGGGTATAAATTTTTTATTCATAAATCTAATAGTAGAAAGTATAATATGTTTTGCAACACTTCAATTATCGATTAGTGAACTGTGGTAATGAAATAATGTCTATAATTGATAATAAATTTCTAAAACCTGAATTTTTTTAGGAGTGGCTCGTGCATTTGTTTGTGTGATGAAAGGAGTCTTGAAGTTTATGGTAAGGGAAGGAATTTGGTTTTATCCATATTGATGATTAACTTTCCATAGTAATATGGAACATCATCCTAAATATAGATGTTTTACATGATATTTATATTTGATTTGATTAAAATTTGAGATTTGAAAATATAAAATTGCAAATTATTGAATAATGAAGGATTTTCGTCATTTATTGTAATGGTTTGTAATATAGAATTGTTTGTAATCGATATTAGTGCAAAAAATGTCTGAATTTTAATGAAATGAAAAATATAGCGAATCGAAGTTATTTGTGGTGAGTATTGAGTGATGATTTGACATTTGTAAACTGAGTGATATCAATATTTATTTCTTATGTCTTTGGTTTCTTGAATCAATGAATTCGTTAATACAGATTAACAGGATTCATTGAACCAAAATGATGTTGTTTTATATGATATCGTGTATTTTGAATGTTGCTATTATCCTCGTTGAAATATAGATTGAATTTCCTGAAGATATTTGAGATTCTTTTTTAAATTGTATTAAAAGTCTTGAAACATGTTTCACTTCATTAGAAATTTGCATTATTCTTAAAAGAAATGCAATCTTTTGATGTTCAAAATCCAAAAATATTTCAAAATTTAAAAAATTAATCCCAATTTTGCTAAAAAAGTTTTTAAAATTAGAAAAATAAGAAAATTTTGGAAAAATAACATCTATCATTACTAACTATTTTATGTTTTTATTCATATTTACCTTTAATATGTCTGTCTTTTTTCATAATTCAAAAGATTTAATATTAATTTTTAATGAATTATGTATAAATTCTAAGATTAGTAGACAGGTTAAGTCGTATGACATTCATAAATTGTTTAAAATTCGTTTTAAATATTGAGCATTTCAATTCCAATGAATAAAGGAAGTATTAGTAGCCAACAACATTCATATTATAATTTACTATATAAAGTGATATTGTGTCATTCATATGTTACATCTATAACCTATTTTTTAATAGATTATTAAAGATTTTTATCAAACAGTAGATATTCACAACGCTATTATAGTGGATTCAATTATATATAGTACATAGGTCAATAAAAATGTATCATGCATATCATTCTTCTTATATTTTTTTTGGAATAAAAATTTTGACTTTTTGAATGAAATCTTTAGTATGGTTAACAAAGCATCGATGTTATAAAGCGATATCTCTATATTGTGTTGAATATTTTTAAATTTTATTATCATTCAAATCTTGATTCGTATATAATGCAATAAATGTTGGAAAAGTAGGGTATACAATTCTCATTTTTTTTAAAAAAAATGATATCAGTATAAAAACTATACTGCATCAATACATCATTAAACTTTTAGTCCAACAAATAACGTATAAATTCACTCAAGCATCTACATTCACAACATCATATTCAATATCATTAAGAATGGGTTCAGTATCTTGGTTTGCAAATGTTGCTGGCTGGCTGTTTGCAATATTTGCGGAGAAATATGATCTTATTGAAATTATATTTCCTTTTTCTAATAGGAATATAATAAATCCAATAACTGCGAAATATAATAAAGCAAAGAGAGCTATGGAAAATGGAGGTCTTGTGAATTTATTGCAATTGCATTTGAATAATGAATCATCGACTGTATTATTATGAGAATTGAATATAAATGATGTGAGTCCGCATTTATTTGAAATATTCTCATTAATACCAATGGTTTCGAAAGCTATTCCTAGATCATTTGTTATATGATCGTGTATCTGAACAACAAAAGGTAAGCCAGTATAATAATATTCTAGCTGTATTGGCTTTTCACTAAGTGGGGTATAGATGTTATGAGTTGGCAGTATAGTTTTGGAGAATTTTATACCAGAAGAATTAAATGTGAGAGGAGAGAAAAGACATGCTTGTTTCGCATATATCTGCATATTCATATTATTGGAGTAGTTAAGAAAGTAAGATTCTGCGTTACACGTACCTTTTTCTAGATTCCATCCTTTAATAATTTCGAGTTCGTCCCCATAATTAATGATACTTATATTTACATCAGAAAATGCGTAATAATTGTTGGCTTGTGGATTTATATCTGTTGATGTTGTGCGATTTTTGATATTATATTTTGTTTGATTCAGGTTTGAATTGGATAAAATATAAAATTTACTGTTATATGAACTAATTTCGACGGTTTCATGTGGAGGTATTTTGATAATTTGGAATGAGTTTAGAGATAAAGATAAAATTGTATTCATCTAAAGTAAAATGACCAATTATTCAACATTAAAAAAAAAAAAAAAAAAAAAAAAAAAAAAAAGGTAGTGGGGCTTCCAGGCACTTCGTGCCCTCTAGCCCTGAAGATGTTTAGTATAACTTTGTCCGGACAAGTAAGGGTCTATCGTCGCTACAGGAAAAGTTACGGGCGTTCCAAGGAAGTATACTTTGAGAAGACTTTCCCCATTATAGAATGAGATAGGACGGTTATTTTACAAAACTGACAACACTTTGACCGAGTAGTTTTTTGTGCTGAACAAAAAGTGTCATATAAACATCTGTCAAAAACCGTTTTTTACTTCACTTAAAATGCCACGTAAGCTACGTAAGAATATACGTAAGAGGAAGGGAGCATTGAAACATCCCATAGTAAAACTGACACCACAACAACAGTTGCAACAACAAATGATGAATGACCCCACTATGTTGCAACAAATGTCAAGCAACCCTATGCTTTTAAACCGAGTTATTGGTGCACAGAGTGGAGGTTTAAGAGCGGCACTTTTAGCGAAAATGGCAGGCTATGGTGGAGCTGCAGACGGAACAGCTTATAACCCTCAAAGTCAAATGAATTTGAGTTCACTCAAAAATCAAATAACAGATGTCAAAAAGTCAAACATAGACATACAGAAACAAATAAGTGAAAACGAAAAGAAACTAGAATATGACAGACAGACAAAGAAACTCAATGAGTTAAACGTAGAGAAAAAGAAGAAAGAAGAACAACTGAAAGAACTAAGTACAGAGGAATATGCGAAAAAAGTGTCAGAAAAAGCAGCAGAAGTAGCAAAAATGGAACAAGATGTTATAAATTTGAAAAACCATACTACTCAATATAAAGTACTGAAAGATGAAGAATAAAACAAAAAGCCCTGAAGACATATATGGATAGCGATGAGTATAAAAAAGAAGTTGAAGCAAATGTAAAGGCAGAAAAACTTTTACAGTTGCAAAACCAAACCGTACAGTATGAAAACTTAGCACAAGAAAGTAAAAATAACGACGCAGCCATGCAAAAGGCAATGAAAAGCGCAGAATATATAAAAGCTAATAATGACTGGTTAGATGCCCAAGCCAACGCCAAAGCAGCCCAACTTATAGGGTCAATAAGGACAAAAATACAAGCGGATGAAGACAGTTCAAATGAAGCTTTAATGAATGCTGACTTTAAGAACGCCTTCGAAGCTCTTCATAGTAAGGTGAAACTAGTGAACGACTTCTCATCTGGAAAGAAACTGAAGTCTGAAGGTTTCGACAACGAAAGAGTAAGAGAAGTAGCACAAAATATGACGAAAATAACAGATGCAGCAACGAGACAGGCAGTTCAAAGTGCCTATGACGCCGTTAGAGCAACTGTTGTGGAAAGTCAAGAAAAAGAGTTACAACAGACCAAAACAGACCTAGTAAATGCTTTCTTAAGAACGAAAAGTCAGGTAGGACATTATGCTGCAGATGGAACATATGTGCCAGCTGGTGGAACTTATATACCAGCTGGTGGAACTTATATACTAGCTAGTGGAACTTATATACCACCAAACCCTCCAAGAGAAGCACCTGCACCAGGACTACCTAAAACATTTACATCGTCACATGGACACAGACACAGGCATGCACCAAAACAACAACAACAACCAACAGTTCAAAATCCAGCACCACAACCAACAGTTCAAAACCCAGCACCACAACCAACAGTTCAAAACACTGCACAACAACCAACAGTTCAAAACCCTGCACAACAACAACCACAAACAGAGCAAGGACATAAAAGAAGTAGAGAACAAGGAAACCAAGAATTCTTAAAAATGCTTAAGGAAAATTATGGTTACCCAGATACTCTTGACTTTAGTGACAGATATAAAGAAGCTATTAGAAAGTTCAAGGAAGGAAATACTGACCCGAACCTATTTAGCTTTATGGTTCAGCACCAAATGGGATATAATTTCAAACCTGGAAAATACAAGCTCGCTAAGGGATATGATTTAATAGCATATCATCCAAATGACATGATGAATTTACTCCGAGATATTTGGTGTCAGAGCTAAATGATAATTCAACTCTCTTCATGAAACGCGTAAAAAATAGAGACGGAACGAAAGAAGAAAGGTTTATGAAGCGGATGACTTAAGATAGGGAACTTTTAAAAATGGTCTCGGAATATATGAAATGCCAGCAGATGAGGTACAAGAAACTCCACAGGAAGAAGTTCAGATACAACCAGACATGGAAGAAATAGTTCAGCAACAACAGCTAGAAGAGCCTGAAGGAAACGAACAAGTCCCTCCTTTGGAAACTAACTTCACAGAACTAGATGAAGATTTGGAACAGCCGAAAAATCTTGACCCTCAACAAGTGTATGCGGGGAATATGGAATCTTTCCAAGAGTCTAAGAAAAATTCGGCTGACATAGTAGAAGAATATCGAAAAATGTTCGCCGACATACAAAAGACTCCAACATCAGATGAAAATATTCAGCATAGAATGGAAGTACTGAAAGAAAGTGTACGCAAATACAACAATCCTTTTTACTTACGACCATATAACGTTCAATCTTTGGCTGAACTCGGTGAAAAAAAAGGTTAAATTTCACCAAAACATATAGAAATGAAACATTGTTTAAAGTTCATTCAGAACCTAGCCAATATGGAAACAAACCTACTTTTGTTTCTGCAGACTATGGAACTACAATGAGATGGGGTCATAAAGCTAATCCGGATAGGTGGTTCATAAACTTACAACCTCAATTCCAAGAAGTTGTAGACGCAATGGAAGTGAATGGTGAACCAGATATAGCTGGTATTTTCAGCGCGGCTTTAATGCCATTGAAAGATATGAAACATGCAGATATTTTGGACCAGTATGAAATGAACATGGCTGATGGAAATATAACACCTGACGTTCTAGAACATTTATCTCAAAGAACTACACAGAACCATAGAGATGGTATATTTGGTGAAGAGTTTAGAAAGAAAGTTAGGGAGAGAGAAGGAAGAGAACCTATTGTACATGACCTTGCAAACGAAAGTTTGCAAAATGTCATAAAAACTTACTTTGCAGACAATGAACCGAGAAGGGATGAATATTTAAGAAAACTCAAATGGACAGTACCAAATGAAATGTTAGTATTGAAAAACATGTTCCATGACAAAATAAAACCAACTACAGAAATAAATGACGCAAGACTGAAACGTTGGGTAAAAGCTTTCCCATTCACAAAAGATATTATTGGTAACATGGAAAGAAAACCAGAATGGCTACAAAAACATATATTTGGAAACGAGCTTATTCCATATGGACAAGCTCTGTTTGAAGAGCTTGAACCGGAAACTCAGGAAAGAGTCATGCAAACAATACGCGAAGACTCAAATACAAACTATGACAAAATCTTTCTAGGATATAGGTTACCTGAGATGGGCGACCAGAGCCCAAAGGCAAAAAGGACACGTGAAATTTACAACATACTAGGTGAACATGAGGCAAAGATGCAACAACTTGAAGCAGAGGGCAAGTTACCAAAAGCGACACCAAAGAAGAAGAGTAGAACAAAGTGAAAGTAGTGAAGAAGTAACTTCATCTAGTGAAAGTAGTGGCAATGAAGGAAAAAGAAGAGTTAAAAACTCAGTCAGGAAGAAAGTAAAGCTTGGTACGAGTGGGTTCTATTATGACACATAAATCCAACTATTCTATATTTTTACCCATATGAAATGTACGCCGCTCAGAATATAACGCCAACAGTTTTGGACGCCATGAACGGAAATGTTTCCGAATGGTATAACGAATGCGACAATGCCATTAGAAGGTCAGAAATAGTTCCTGGAACTTACGAATATACAACTGCTGTTTCTTATGGAAACGTAGGTGAGTTTGGAGAAGGTTCTTCAACAACAGTAGATATTGCTTGCGACAGGTTTCATATTATTTCTATTGACAACTCATTCTTATACGTGGAACAAGACATTGAAATAAAACCTTCTGCCAAGTTGTCTGACAAGAAAGGTTGCAATGGAATTTTCTATGTCGGATACCAATATGCTCCAGAAGTTTTCATGGGATATAAGATATATTCTAACTCTGACTTAGTTCAAACAGTAACATGGGCAAACTATGAATGGTTCGCTTTGAGAAAACTCAGTACAACCACAAGCTAGAGAACAAACAGACCAGTATGCAAATATTGAGAAAATAAGAAGACTTGACCCTAACGTTCCAGGAGTTTATGTTAACCTTTCTGGTTCAGATGGAACTGCTGCCACTAAAGTAAAACTGAAACTTAGAGTTCCTTTGTCATCTTTCCTCATCTTCAGGTTTTTAAGATACTTGCCAAACTGGGCAGGAAAAATTTCTATCGAACTTACTCCAAGCAAAAATAACTTAGTCATTGCACCAACACAAGACCCATTCAGCATTACTGTAGCTGGAACTGGTGGAGCCAAGTTCTGTGACTTTTGCAAAGACAAAGTTGACTTAGACTTTGGTTTCTCAAACTTCAACAATGAAGTAAACTATTATTTCAATGCTGCTGGAACTGCTTGGGACCCAGTTAAGTTTACATGCGAAAAGTTTGAATGCAAGAGAATAGAAAGCAGACTTGCAGTCTATATGTTGGACCCAGATATTTCAAATGCTTTAGCTGCCAAATATATTGCAGTTCCACTTATGTTCCCTATACACCAAATATCTGTCAAAGACTTTGCAGGTGAAGTTGGAAACCAAAGTGCTGACCCAGGTGCAAGAACAGATATTGCTTTAACAACTGCAATGAAACATGCAGATACTATGTTTGTACTGTTCAGACGAACTATAAATGACTATTCTTGTTTCTACAACCCCGGTATTAAATATCATATAAACATAGATGGCAAATATTATCCAAGAGAAGAATATTCTACAGTTGAGGATATGAGGTCATACAACTTGACATTAGATGCTATGAACTTTAACAACAACTTCACAACAACCATTAACCCTGAAATGCAAAGTTCTATTATGCCATATGTGAAAGTATGGACTCATACAGGAGGTCAAAAAACTCAATATACAAATGGAGACCGTTCAAACTTTTGGCTTGGCATTCCATTTGCTGACTCAGAAGACTTTATGGGTGGTATTTCAACTGTTGGTACTGTACAAATACAATATACTGGTGACAGAGACGGTCCAGATGAACTGAGAGCAAAGAAGTTTACAAAACCAATAGCACTTTTCACGGAAGATGCTCTTTTGAAGATTCGTTCGATGAAACCTGCTGGGGCTCCTCAGATTGGCATAACGACAGCTTCCATCGAGCAGATTTTGGCAGCAGGTCAGTAAGTTGTTCTTGAACTGACTTCTCTCCGTCAAATATTGACAGTACGCCAGTTTTGACATAATATTGTAAGATAAACTTTCCTTTAGAAATATCTGTAAGTTTTGTTGTTATATTTTTGTCAACGTCAAGAACTTTCACCATCTCGGTTATACCAACTTTCTTTGCTTTATGAAAATATTTAGGTTCAGCAAAGACTGCTATTCTATAACATTTACCATTGTTTGTATAAAGAACTATTCTGTCAATGTATTTGTATTGTTTGTGTGTGTAAACTTTGTTCTGCTTCAATTCAATAAGATATCCGAATACATCCATCTTTTTATTCTAAGTAAAATGTCATTTCCGAAAAATAGAAGCGTGAGTGTTTCAAAAGGTTTAATGGCGGTGGCAGATGTGAAGTTAAATTCACCAACTCAAACAAACAGTCAAAGTGTTGTTGTCAATGTCAAAGACAGAGATGTTGAAGTGGGGAAACCATACGAAGACGAAGATGGTATAACAATTGTTCCTGTAAAAGAACCAACATATCCTGAAGTTAGCAGAGACTTAAGTTCTGTTGCAGATATTCGAAACGACTACCAACAACTGAAAGACAAACTTCAAACTCAGGAGAAGATTTGTCAAGCTTTAGGTATAATGTTAAACTTGGTCGAACACAACCCTGTAAAAGTGAACTCATATGTCATTGCACCTCATGAAGTTTTGAAAGAACTATTGAAACTTTTGACAGAGGCAGACGATATAAACATCAAAGAAATAGAACCCGACATTAGTTGCTGTGGTGTTTCATATAATGTCATTGACAAGATATACGTTATGAAAAGAGGTGAAACGTTGAACTTAAAGTATAGTTTCCCAGACGTCATAAAAATATTTGACGACCACAACATTTCATTAAAATTTATTTGCTAAGTAAAAATGTCAAAACTTCTTGAAAGATGTTTGAAGAAAAATAATATAGACTTTATTTCATGTAAAGGACTTTACACACTTTTGAACGATATGAAAGACCCTGTTTTGTTTGTTCGTGTAGACAAAGGAAAGTTCTATGTCTTTACAAAATATTTGAACTTCTTAGACAGAGAACTTCAAGAAACGCCATGTGAAAGTTTAGATGAAGTTCTTCTCCACTTTCAGAAAAACTTTTAAATATATATAAATGGCAGAAGATATAATGGTTTATACTATTACGACTAAAAACCCCGAGTCATATAATTCTATAACAACAAACTTACAAAGTCCTCAAGGACGATATTGTAAACTAACCTTAAACACAATGACGACTAAAGCCTGTTTTGCTCTTTTGACACCAGAAGACTTTATTGTTGTGAATGGTAAAAAATACTCCTTTGAAGATACTTACTCAGATATACCACCAACAGGTTTTGTTGACTTATTTAATACTTTAAGTACGGGTGTAACATGTGCTGCAACTAGAGCAGGTTTCATTATGTTTGGATGTCCGACTGAGTTTACTATAAACAATATGAGCTATAATACAAAACTTATTTCTGGTTTTTACTACCAACAGTTTCCTATAACAGGAAAAGGTGTCATACAAGGAATGTCTATTCCATTGACATTAAGCACACCAATCTTATATATTGTTTCAAACTTAGGTTCAAAGTGTTATTCGAACGTCGACAGAAACTATTATGACCAAAAGATACTTATGCGTATAAACAATACTTTCTCTGCTGGTTTGCCTATTGTTCATTCGAATGCAGAATTTTCAACCTTAGTGAACTCAAACACTTTGGCAAGTATAACGTTGACATTAGTTGACGCAAACTTTGTTCCTGTAAAACTTTTATGTCCTATGTATTTGTCAATGACGGCAGAAAGTTTCGAATTGGAAGATGCAACTGGTGAAAGTATTGTATTACAAGAACAACTTCAACAACAAATAGCTCAAGAACAACAAATGCAACAAATGCAACAACAAAGTCAAGAATAAAAAAAATATTTTTTTTTATTTTTATAAAAATGTACAGAATAGATGTTTCAGATTTTTATGACTTCCAAGCATTCAGAAATATGTGTCCATTTAGAGACTATAACAAAGCAGTCGAGAATTTGAAACGTTTAGTCATTTATGTCGACTCTGCCCCAGAATGTTATGTTATGAAAGAATGGGATGTAGTCTTTAACAAACCAAGAGCAACAATAGTTTCAGAACAAGAATGTAGACAGAAACTTAAGAAAATAAAAGTCGTACAAGTTGGCATGAAGATGTTAGATGCTTGGGATATCTTATTGTCAAAGTTAGAAGATTTTTCAGTTCGAGGTATAAAGTTCTATACACCTTCTCCAAACTTCTATTCTATCTTCACTGGATATAAATATGAACAAGTAGAATGGAAAGAAAATATTATAGAAGCTTGGTTAGACCATGTCAAAGAAATTATATGCAATGGAAACGAAAGAGTCTATGAGTATATCTTATGTTGGTTTGCAAACATCTTACAACATCCAAGTGCTAAAAATGAAACTGCTCTCATTATAATTGGAAAACAAGGAACTGGTAAGAACACATTCTTTACAGATATTTTGTGCAAACTGTTAGAAGGTTATTCGAATCCGAATATGACAAACTTAGAAAACATCTGTGGCAAGTTTAACTCCTCAATAGAGAATATGAAACTTATAGTTTGTAACGAACTTCAAAGTATAGATACAACAAAAGTTTTAAACTCAGATGCTTTGAAGAGTCTTATAACAGATAAAGTTGGAGTTGTTGAAAGAAAATATAAAGACCAAAGAGTTTGTGAAAATGTTGCAAACTTCATTATGATTTCAAACAATGCTGTTCCGATGAAGTTAGAAAGTTCTGACAGAAGATATGTAGTTGTCAGAACGTCAGATTCTCATATGCAAGATACAGAATATTTTGACGACTTAGCAGAAACTTTGACATCTGACTTTTACAACCACTTGTTCTCATATTTTATGACATTAGATATTTCTAAGTTCAATCCAAGACAAATTCCACATACCGAAGAGAGACAAACATTGTTAGAAGCAAACAAGAGTGTATATGAACTGTTCATAGATGAAACTGACTTTGTGTCATTAGATGAAAGGTCATTGTACGATTCGTATAAACAATATTGTCAAGAATATGGTTATATGACAGCGTCTAAACGAACATTCTTGGCAAATGTCAAAAGTCTTTTAGACGTACAGAATGGTGTATATACAAAGAAAATTTTTTCTGAGTAAATTTAAAAAAAATATTTTTTATCCGATAGAAAAAGATGGCAAAATTCATCTCAGTAAACAAGTACATGTCAGGACTTAAAGAAGAACTAGACCCATTCACATATTTGAATGTTTACTTCTACCATTTTGAAAAGTCTTCATTCAGCAAAGTTTGGAACATCGAACCAGTTAAGTTTGCTATTGTGACTAAAAATGGTGCGAAATTTGAAGACTTAGACATAGAAGGTTTGTTAGCAGTCAAAGAAAGTTTTGACAGAAGGTTCTCAAACCTTAAAGAAGGCAAAGCATACAAACTTGTTATACCTTATGAACCAAAGAAAGCAGACGACTATGAATATTATGAGTCTAAGATAGTTGAAGTTCAAGGTAAATTGGGTAAAAAGATTTTAGAGTCTAAGCCAGTGTTTGCTCCTAAAGAGGAAGAGAACATTGACATTGACCCAGAAATGTTCTAAAAATAAAATTTTATTTTTACATGTCAAATTTCTTTTTCTCTGGAACTGGTTCAGGTTCTTTCTTCTCTTCTTCTACTTTCTTTTCTTTCTTTTCTCTCTTCTTCTTTTCTGGTGGAGTTATGTCAAATTTGGCGCAACTATATTTATGTAAAAGTTCTTTGTCCTTTAATAGCTCATCTATTCTGTTTTCTATTTCATCTTCAAGAACAGCGCATGTGTCTTCTTTGCATTCTAAGAAGTTTTGTTGGACTTCATCTCTCCAAGAGGCGTCATCTCTGTCAACAAGTCTGTCATTGACAAATTTTAAGACTTCTCTGCCTAATGTTTTATGGTTCTTGTCATATTCCCAGAAACAGAACTTTAGAACAAATTCACCTTTCTTGTTTACACTATGTAAGATTTTATGGTCGACAGATGTTTTGCTGTCGAAAAGCTTGTCTCGAATATAGATAGCGAAATCGCTAGACATTTTCTAAAAGATAAAAATTTTAATTTTTCTAAAAATATGTTAGAAAAAAAGTTTGCTGACATTGACAAGAAATTTGAGAATGTTTTAAACAAGAACAAGAGGAAGTTAGAAAATGCTCAGATAAAACCTATACATGACAAGTTCTTATTTGCTCAGAATGGTATAACAGGTCTAATTGCACCACCTGGGTCGGGTAAGACTTTCACTTATCTTAAAATGGCTGCACAACAACAAGAACTAGATGAGAAGAACCCATTCTATGAGTTAGTTGTCATTTGTAGTACTTCTGGTCAATTTGACCAAACCGTCAATTCGTTCAAAGATATTATAAAGAAGTCTAAGTTAGTATGTATAAAAGACTCTGAGTTGTTAGATTGGATAAAGAAGTACCAAAGAAGAGTTTTGAAGTATAATGCTATAAATGAGTATATAAATTCTAAGTTTAAAGACCCTAATGAGGAAATGCAGAGAATATTAGAGAAGAAACACTTCAGAAACAAACAGAAAGAGATAGAATACATTTCGAAGAAATTGCAATCGTACGATTGGAAGACTTACCCTCATAGATGTCTTCTTATCTTAGATGACTTTGCTTCTCATCCTTTGCTTAAGAATAGAGAACAAGATATGTGTCGAATTCTTAAGAAGCTCAGACACTTTAACATCTCAGTTGTCATTTGTGTACAGACAGCAAAGAGTTTAAGTAAGGATGTAAAGAGAATACTTACTGACATTGTACTTTTCCCCGGATTGTCCGAAGACGATTTCATGGAACTTATGAAAGAGTCCATGGCAGGTAAGTTTGACAGATATGAACTATGGGAGAAGTACAAAGTCATACAAGACCCTCATACTTCTTTCAGAATTCATATCTATGCGAACAAAGTTCAAATTGTAAAAAGTCAAGCTTGAAAAATCTAAGTGTTTAGTCTTAGTAAGATGGTAGCTTCTTAAAGCATATGCCGTCCTTGAGTTTTAGGTACGTGAAGAGAAGTACAATGAATTCAATTACGAGTACAATTGCAATGACAACCAAGGCAACTATTTTTGTCTTTTGCCAGCAAGGGTACTTCTTCTCTTCCAATGGTTCGGCAGAACTATACTCACTCATGAGAAATGCCAAAACGGTTTAATAGAAAAAGTGTCATCTACCCTACTTGTTTGAAGTTGTCAAAATACTCTGTTATTTTTCACGATTTTCATGAGTTTTAGGCGACCCAGAAAAAAAACGGTCTCGCTGTTCTTCACTGTTTTCGTACGGAATCTCTTCTCTAGGTTTTCCGAGGGAAGCAAGCATATGAGGAAATTCATGAAATTTGGTCATTTTTCAGCAAAAATAATGTTTAGGTGAAGAGGTGAGATCTCACCTGTTTTTTCACCTAATTTTTCACCTCTTTTTTTTTCACAACCGTTTTACATGGTAAGCGTTATTTTTTGACGAAGTGAACATTGACACTTCGTCAAAAAAATCCCTGAAATCATATCTTACATACAAAATAAAAAAATAAAATGACACTTTTTCATTAGATAACTGTTATTTTTTGACGAAGTGAACATTGACACTTCGTCAAAAAAATCCCTGAAATCATATCTTACATACAAAATAAAAAAATAAAATGACACTTTTTCATTAGATAACTGTTATTTTTTGACGAAGTGAACATTGACACTTCGTCAAAAAAATCCCTGAAATCATATCTTACATACAAAAAAATACAAAAAAACTAACTTTATTTTTTCTATCTTAAGGAAATTCATGAAAATTCAAGAGGTGAAAAAAGAGGTGAAAAAACAGGTGAGATCTCACCTCTTCACCTAAACATTATTTTTGGGTCCTTTACACTCATTACGAAGAAGTCTTGACAAAACATTTACGAAGAAGTCTTGACAAAACATTTACGAAGAAGTCTTGACAAATTCAAGAGGTGAAAAAAGAGGTGAAAAAACAGGTGAGATCTAACCATCTACCCGACATTCTCGTCAAATACAAAAAAATGAAAAAGTGTCATTTTTTTTCATGTCCGAAGACTCGAAGGTGCAACACTTCCAAAATACCGACGAACTCAGAAGAGCAGCATGGCAGTATCTTCTTGACAACTTCTTTGAGTTCTCCAGGTACACCTTGGAAAATGCTGAAGAACTCCGACACAGAGAATTTGGAGAAATTGCACTCCAATACTACCTTGACAAACAAAGGGTAAACAAAGGGTAAATTAAGACTAAAAACTTAACGTTTAAAAAGTGACATTTTTAATGAGCTCCGAGTCACCGAGAAAACTTGGTCAGATGTTAGCAGCTTACTTCCCTGAGGAGGATGGAAGCGTTACATACGTAAGGTTCAAAAACAACGAACCTGGAATTGCGTACCAAATTCGCAATTACATGACCATGGAAGAGTACGAAAGGTTCCTACAAGAGAAACCAGCTCTAAACAACTCAGAAAAGAAAGAATAAAAAGTTTAACTCGTAATTGTTTATTTTTTTACTTGTATGGGCAAGCTGCAAGAATGAAGTCGACTATCTCAGTCTTTGTCTTGACCAGTTGGACGGCTCTTGTGAGTATGTCTGTTTTGCGGTCTCCAGCTGGTGTCTGACCTTCGTAATTGCGCATGTTCTTGAGAGCTCCAACTGTAAATGGTTGTAGGATGAAGAGTCTCTCAGACTGCTTGAGGTAGTCTTCACGGTCACGAACCGAATCTGTGGTACGAGTCGAATCGGTCGATTTGAGGGAAGAGAGTGAGAGCCTGTCTTCTTCCATTGGGGTAGTAGCATACTCTTTGCGTAAGCGGTTCAGACCTTCCTCGAACTCTTGGTCTCTCTTGGATTGAGATTGGAATTGTGGGGCAGGGTTTTGCATAAACATCCAAGGGTTGGGGAAGTAAGGCATAGGCTGAGGAGGGTAGTTCGGGAAGCCTTGTGGTGGGTAGTAACCTTGAGGTGGAAATTGGTAGTAAATCGGAGGTACTTGCTGGAACTGAGGTGCAGGGGCTGGTGCTTTAGGTTCCTCTGGTTTGGGAAAGGACTGGGTTGGTGGTACGTCGGACATTGTTCTGAAACAGTACAAGACTAGTTCTGAAACAGTACAAGTATTGTTCTGAAAAAGTACAAGTATTGTTCTGAAGCAGTGCAAGTATTGTTCTGAAAAAGTACAAGTATTGTTCTGAAGCAGTACAAGTATTGTTCTGAAAAAGTACAAGTATTGTTCTGAAAAAGTACAAGTATTGTTCTGAAACAGAAAATTTTTCTCACAAATTGAGAGCTTTTACGGGAAATTTGTTCTGAAACAGGACAAGTATTGTTCTGAAAAAGTACAAGTATTGTTCTGAAACAGTACAAGACTAGTTCTGAAACAGTACAAGTATTGTTCTGAAAAAGTACAAGACTAGTTCTGAAACAGAACAATGGACAACATCGAGCCATTAGATGAGGCAATTTACCTTATAGAGATAAATGAAGTTGTTAAGCAGTACTTGGGCAAGGACAAAGCCAACAAGTCCCTCGGCTGCTGGTTGTCTGGAAGAGGTGCGCTGAAAATCGAAATTGAAACCGGAATTCCAATTCAAATACCAGAAAACACTCCTGTAGACGACATAAAGGAGATGAAGAAAGAAGCTCTTCTCAAGTTCTTTGCAAAGCGCCCATGGATACAACTTCCAAACAGAGAGAGTCCAATTCCACGAATTATACAAATTCTCAGAGCACTGTTCCACTTCTCAGGACGGCCGTTCTTCATAACCTCAGAAGGCGACATCCAACCAGTACTGTAAACCTTAACGTTTAGAGTAAAAACATTTTTTTTCATTTTTTGAATGAAGCAAGTTAAATTCGTCCCACACCAATCTCAATGGACCGATGAAGAGTTTCAAGCCATCGTTGAAGACGTTGAGAACGACATAGACGGCGAACTTAAAGGAGCTCAAATCACAATTGCAACCAAAATTGCAGAGGTCAAGGAACAGATAGCTCCACTTAAAGCTACCAAAGCTACTCTTGACCTCATGGATAGTTACCGTTTAGATGTCAAGAGTGGAATAAGACAATTAAAATTAAAACTTCTAAACTACGAAGCTATACTC